CGTGCTGGCTGAGGCACGACGGCCACCCCTCGGGCTGCCCCGCGCCGTGAGGGGGCCGGCGAGGAGGGCACGGCGCCGCCTCCCTAAACAGTCTGGAAAAAAAACATGTCAAGCAGAGCTTTTTTTCTCATCAGAAAAGCCGGGTTTGGCCACAGTGAAAACTTCAGAGGAATTGTCTTTTTCTGGTTTTGGGTTTTTTTTTTTTGTTTTTTTTTTAATTTGTATTTATTTTCTAACCAGAAAACTCGAAGTCACTTGGGGCGTAAACCCACTATTCATTAAAAAAAAAAAAAGTTTCCATTTTCTGTCCCAGAAGAACATTTTTTGTGTGTGAGTTGAGATGGGGAATTCTGTCTGAAAATGTTTTATTGGTGTTGGCCAAAGATGCCTGATGTATTTTTTTCCCCTTCCTTCAGCGAAAAGTTTAAATTTGCAGTGGAAATATATTTCCCAAGTGGCTTCAATATTTAGCTTGTTTACCTGATGTTAAGGAAAAAAGAAAAGGCATGGTTTGCTGTGTCAGTGGGCTGCACCAGCATGTGGCCGAGCAGTCTGCAGGGCTCGTCTCCACCCTTTCCCCAGGCTCAGGCTTTCTTACTGCCTTGCCTGGCCCTGGCACTTCATCATTAAATTAAATTAATGCCTGCAAGGGGCCTGAGCCTCTAAAGGTCGTGCCTTTACCTCTTCAGATAACCCTGCTCTGAGGGATTTGCTATAGGCCATGAGTATAAGCAAAGCCCATCTATGCCATCATTTTGCAACAAAAGAAGAAACTGCCATGTAACCCCACTTTGTCCGACTTTAGTGGGGCTTTAATTTTCCTCCCGTGGCATCCCAACCCTGCTGCATCACTGATTGCTTTGCCAGTGGGTGTGCTAGAGGTAAGGCTGCACCCACATCTGAGGAGACTTCACTGGATCCCTTCAAGTGGGGCCTCACTGTGAGTCACCCGTAATATAAACTGCAGCCACTTCATTTGCATTGTCAGTTTTTAAATACATACTTTTGCCTGCTGGAGTGTTGCTAACTATGGTAATTTATGAGACGAGGGCTGCGTTTGGAATACATTTGGCAGCAATGATGAGGTCAGCGCAAAACGTCTTCTGTCTGGCTGTAGTTTTAAATCAACAGCTCTAGAGGTGTTTCCCTGTTTGGTGATTCTGTTTTTTTTAACATATACGCATGTGGTAGTGCAGTGACAGGCATTCAAATGGGCTCCTGGCTGGAGGGGGGAAGAGAGGAAAACATGAGTCCTCTGGTAGGTGAGCAGGAAGGGATAGGAGGCAGGTAGTAAACAGGCAAAGGGAGCCAAGAGTAAACCACTGGTGAAGGCTACCAGCGCTGTGTAACACTGTCTAGGGTGCTGGGGACACACCTGGCGTGAGTCTCTGAGGGTACTAAAGAGCAGACAAGAAAACGTGGAGTAAGCAGTAGCATGCCCCATTTTTGTAAGGCTGGAGACAAGCAGGGTATGCCATGCACTGGTGCGAACAATGGCGCTCTCGTTTTGAACGCTGGTTTTATTGCTAGACTAGGGGCTCAGAGGGGCAGAAGAGGGCTACACCACCTGCACCATCTCCATCACCTGTGGATGTGGGTGCCTTCAGAGACAAGCCCCATTCCTTCATTTCCAGAGGCTACAAGTTCTTGTTTTTTGCCTGGATGCTGTGTATGTTGATGATCAAGGTCATCTTCAGAAGCTGGCTGTAGCCTTTTTCTCCTTCCTGTCTTTTTGCAGAAGATTTAGTATCGCACACTGCGGAGAAATGGGGATGAGCTGCCTTTTCTCTGGTGGCTGAGGACAAGACGGTTTGCAGCAGTGGATATGCTGGTGTGTTGGGATTTTCACTATTGCTTGGCAACAGCTGAAATAAAAATAATGAGTCAGACTCTGAAGACAAACAGATGGTAAAGCGTTTTCCCCTCGCTGGCATGAACTAAGGTGGCTTGAAGAGGGGTGAGGGGCTGGAAGGCGGATCTGAGCTGCAGCGCAGGACATCATCTAAGTGAGCGGGCCGCATCCGGTGCGCGAGCTCCGAGGGGCCGGCTCCTTCGCAGAGATGGCCCCACACGTCTGCGGGAAGCCAGCATGTCCCCATGTGTGGGGGCGGTGTGTGCAAATGCATACCAGTTTCAGCCCCATTACTGGGCGCCTGGTGCTCCTTTCTTGCAAATAAATCTGTTGTTTGGCCCCCATCCGTTAACGGTTTCCACTGCTCACTGGCAGGCTCCTGCTGCTTCTGCGCTCAGAGCATGGGGTAGGCGCCTGGCAGGGACCGCTGGCCCCTCTCCTCACGGCTATAGGGAAGTGGCAGGTGATTCCCTAGCAGCCACCCAGATCCTGCAAGCCAGACAGAGCGATCGGATGCATTTTCACCATCTCCTGTGTCCGGAAGGAGTATGGAAGTTAGTCTGGTATGGCCACATGCAGCGGATGCTGGAGCTCCTGAGGTGAGGCAGGGAGGGAGAGGAGTATTTTCCTGTGAGCAAAAAGCAAAAGTGCAGTAGGGACCACCGCATCCTTCTCTGCTGGGAGAAGGCAGTCACATCAAGCCAGAATGGGTACAGGCTGAAGGAAATAATTCAAATTGCCCTCTCCCATTTGCAGGAAGGAAAGCCTACAAATGGCCTTGAAATCCCCCGTGGGGTGAGTTCCAGGATTCAGTGCTTGACACCGCCTCTCTTCTACACCTGTTTTACTTTGCACTTTCATTTGGTCCTGACTCACCTGCAAGCAGGTTTGATTTATTCCGGTGCTGTTTACCCACGTTGGTGCTTTTCCCCCTAAGGTAACTACATCAAATGAGTTCCCGTGGAGTGAGTTTTAATGCAGGCGGGCATGAAGGTCTTTATCAACTTGATTCTTCACAATAACAATGTTATTACCGGCCTGGAGAGGACCTGCAGGGAGAACCCGCAAGCCCTTTTCTGTTAGAGACACTGCATGTGTGGCAGGGAACTGAAGTCACTTAAGAGCAAAATTAATACTCTGCAATTATTTGAAGTTTTAAAAAGAAACAAGAACAGTTGGGGGTCTCTGTTCATTTTGATTTAGCTACAGAATATTTGCACTAAAAAGCCCTTCTCCTACTTCTTGCTGCCTTTTTTTTTTCTTTCCTATCATTGGCCCCAGTATGCCTGATACTAACAGCAGTAGCAAAGGGCTAAAAGAGGTCGTTGGAACCAGCTGAGGGCCTTGGAGTTAACATTAAGAAAAAACCCAAACCCCTAAAACTCCCCAGCCCTCTTGTTAGAACGTGATCTGTAGGAGTTTCATTAACCAACCCAACTTTGTAGGCAACACAGGGCTTTGCATTTAACACCACCAACCCTTGCCAGAGGAAATCTTACCAGTTTACTCGCAGATGGCAGGCAGGGTATTCTGCGTGCACCATCTCGCCTGGCCCAACACCTCTTCTGTACTCAGCAAAGCTGTGTTCTAACATGGGGGAATGCCCTTGTAAAGCAGGGCCAAGAAACACCTTTTTTTTTTTTTTAAAGGAAAATGTGTGATTAATTAGAAATGTTACTTGGAACTACTGGCACTTGAGCTGGGTCATCTAAACCCAGTGAGAAAAGCCAGGCGATCCACACTAGCATGCCTGACTGCAAAGTTTACGTACCCTCTAATGTATCTGCAAGTGTGAAAACAACGTGGGTTTCAGTTATGCAGCAGTTTTAGTGGCTGGGAGGTGTTTTCTGTTTGCTCCAGGTCCCTGGGCTCTGAAGTGAAAGCATCAGGCTGCCTGCATCAGACAAGCTGCCAGAGGGTGGCTGAAGAGCTCGCACCGGAACAGCGTTTCTGCACCCTCCTGTTTAGGTTATGCCCTGTGCAAGGTAATCTGATGTTCCCCACACTGAACCTGAGAGGAGTGGTCAGACAAAAATACACAGGTTAACACCGCACCTCTAGTTCAGCTGCACAGCATGGTACATATGGGATTTGGGGTTTCTAGCCTGGGTCTTTATCACTTAATCAAGAGCTGGTCAGGTAGTTAATTGTTTCCCTCTCCCCTTCGGCACCCACTGATGGCAGATGTTCCCTCACTGGGGGCTGTATTTCCACTCCCACCTCCTCTCTGGTGCAGCCACAGCCTCCCAGCCTTACTGCGGTCCTGCCAGAGGCTACTGCAATATTCACCTTTTTTTTTTTTTCCC